CATCTTTCTCCCGCGGAGCAGCTGGTAGTTTCGAACTGCTGACCTTAAGGTTCGCAGCCCGATTCGTAACCACTACGCTACCAGAGCTCCTTAAAAGCTGGTATAGCAATGATAAAAGCTGGTATAGCAATGATAAAATTCGAGGGAATAGAAAGAATAAACAAATACAAGAAACAAAAGGAAACCCACAAGAGGACAGCTGTTGAGCCCAGATGAAAGACAACTCTGGATGGCTCCTACTAGTCAAGGAGCACACAATGTGACAGCGGAGCTCCTGGCCCTAGCTGGAGTTCATGTAGACCTAAGTGTTATCTGTGTTCAGGACACTCAGTCCAACATGTAGTCCATAGAGTCCCTTGATGGAGCTGGTTGCAGTCTGTTAACACCACAGGGCAGCTGGGAGCAGGTGGCTGATTATGAGGGTCTCTGCTAGACTAATGCTCATCTGGAGACAAATCCACCTGATTCCAGGCACCAAAGTAGCACAACTAGCCTCCACCTCACACTGGCATGTCTCACAACCACGAGTCTTAACACTGGCGGTAGATGAAGGTGCTAGCTGGCCACATCCCTGGTTACTAGGGGAGTGTGAGGAAATAGAAGGACGTGCACCATTCCTGTCACCTGTGTGAATCTGCTTTGCCAGACCACCTTCTGCTGCCAAAGTTACTCACAAAAGTTCAAGGTGGTCACGCCGCGTCTGGACGGCCACTCACTGGTCAATCTCCCTCTCTTGCCATGCCTTCTCAGTTTCTCATCCCTGCAAGCACTCTGTCCGCTTCTCTAACCTTTTCCTCTGAAGCTGAGGGTGTTTCCCTTGGTCTCTCGTGTCCTTGTTGTGGAGGGCCCATGTTGTCTGTTAGTCGCTGAAGTGGATGCCATGGATCTGCCCGGCCTCAGCTGCCAGTAGGTCCATCCTAGGAGGTGGTGTGGCCAGGGTAGGGGCGTCCCTCTGACTGCGTTTTATACTTAGCTGAACCCTAGGCCTCACCCCTAAAAGAGGCTGAGTCCGTGGGTCCTGGATGAAAGCCTGGGAATAGTCATTTAGAGAACTTTTTATAATGAACTAATGTCAGAATAGTCCACAGAATACCTATGTGTGTACCTGTATCTCTCAAACCTACTTGGCCACATTTGCTTGATCATTCTGTAGCTACATAAATATTCATTTTTTGAACCACTGGAGAATAAGTTGCAGACATGCTGCTCCTTCACCTCTAATAAATGTTTTTATAACCACAACACATGAAGCAGAATCAGCTATGTAGCCAGCCACCGTGGTAGAGCTGTGAGGGCAGTGAGGTGAGAAGTCTTTTACTGGGACATTACCATCCTGATGAACATTGCTCTTCTGTCAGGAAGGAAGGAGCAATGCGCTCACCCTGTCTGCTGCTGTAAAGAGCAAGTGGAAGTCACTGGAGAGTTGACAGTGTAGTGATGAGTGCTCTGAGCTTGTCAGGCAGTGACCCATGCAGAGGCATTGACTTGGGGGAGACGATACTAACAGAGACTCAAGTCTGCTCATTCAGCCCTTGTGTATCAGAGAAGCATTTGGGTTGGCTATGGGTTTTCCAGAACACCTTGAGCATTTTTAGTGGAACACATGAGACAGGTTATCTTGGGGTGACATCTGTCTTGGTCCTTCCATTGGCACCACCCCCCAGTACATCCCAGTTTCCCACACCTGGGTTTCTCAGGGATGCTAAGATTTCTTAGGGACTCCAGTTCTGCACAAGGAGAGGGAAGGACAGATCCTATACAGTGTCCACACAGCCAGATGTAGGGCTTTCGGGAGAAACGGGCCTTTCCTTTAACCCCACTTCCCCAGGCTACCACCTCACCTTTTGGTGGCTGGTGAATGAATGCAGGGCTGGGCGCCCAGGCCAGGCTGACTCTGTGGGGACCCTCAGGCTTACATTTTCATGGTCTTGGGGACAAGGGGTGGACAGTATGCTGTGGGCATACAACTCAGATGGGGCCTGGGCCTGGTGGCCCTCAGTGACCCGCCCCTCTCCTTGCCCCCAGGAAGTCTCTGAGCGCACTGGCCTTCTCACCTGACGGCAAGTACATAGTGACGGGAGAGGTGAGTCACCCACCGTCCTGAGTGAGTATACGGGGAGGGCCCTGGGGAACATTTCTTCTGCCCCCAGCCGACCTGGACAGTCCCTTGAATAGCTCCTTTGGCAACCAGAAAAGTCTCATGGCCACTGAGGGAGGTGCCTCAGAGGCATAGCCTACCCACTTTAGCCCTGAGAGCCTCCCTAGCCCTCTGATGCCATGATCCCGCCTTCCCCAGAATGGGCACAGGCCTGCCGTGCGCATCTGGGATGTGGACGAGAAGAGCCAGCTGGCAGAGATGCTGGGCCACAAGTATGGTGTGGCCTGCGTGGCCTTCTCACCCAATATGAAGTACATCGTGTCCATGGGTTACCAGCATGACATGGTGCTCAACGTCTGGGATTGGAAGGTGAGATCTAGCGGGCGGGCCTGAGGGTCGGCAGCCCATTGCCAGAGGAACCTGTGTTTCAGCAGCGGAGAACTCAATGGGAGGATTGGGTAACGTTCTCATCCATTCAGCAAATGTTAATGCTACATGCTGATCACTGTTCCAGGCAATTAGAGGGCACATTACAAGCTTTCAACTATAATAAAGCAATTATTATAATTATTTTTCTATTTACCAGCTGTCAATTTTATCTGTAAAATGAGCATGATACTGGTATCTATCTCATTGAATTATGAAGCTTTAGTGACGTTGGGAATAGCTTGGGGGAAGGGCTTGGAGTAGGTAGAAGAGGTATCAAGTTTTGACTCTGCCTAGAACTTATGTGGCGATGTGACCTTGAGCTTGTCACATTTGCCCCCTCTGAGCTTGGCCAATGAGGGGCAGAAATGCCTCCCTCATAGGACTGTTGAGGGGATTCCCTGAGTGATCCTGTGAGGGACCCCAAGCAAGGGCTCCATCTCGGGCAGCTATGGGTGGTCTCCTTGCCTGCTGTCTCACTGTCTCCAGCCCCGTGGATGACTGGCAGTGCTTGAGCCCTTGGGGGAGAGCTCTGGAACTCACTCTTGCATGGGCAGCCTTCCAAGCCTCAGTTTCCTTCTTTGAAGCTTGGGAACAATAAGAATACCACACATAGAGCAGTGCTCTGGGGGTCAGGAAAACCAGGGAGACCCTGAGCTTTGTAGAGTGCTGCCATCAGCGTCTCTGCACTGATTCTTCCAGAAAGATATCGTGGTGGCCTCCAACAAGGTGTCGTGCAGGGTTATCGCCCTGTCCTTCTCAGAGGACAGCAGCTACTTTGTCACTGTTGGGAACCGGCACGTGAGGTTCTGGTTTTTGGAAGTCTCCACTGAAGCAAAGGTGGGTTTGTGTCCCTGATGCCTGAGCTGGGGACTCCTGTTTCGCCCTGTGATTTGGGGGCAGTAGGAGTCCTTGACTTTTATTTCCGGGCCTGCTTTCTAGGGGCTGACCCAGAGCCTTTGCCAGAACCCCATAGCCCAGGGGCCAGGCCTTGTTCCTGGGCCCCTGCTTGGAGCCCCTCTGCTCTACTGTGTTAGCTGTGGGTTTTCTGCCCATGTCCACTCAGAGGCGCGTCTTGTTTTTCTGTTTAGCTGTGGGCGGTCTTCTCTGGTTGTGTCTGGCCTGTCTGTGGCCCAGTTGGGAGCCAAAGCCACCTGGACAGAGTCTCATTGTGTCCTCCTCTGCCTCCAGGTGACAGGTACGATGCCCCTAGTAGGACGGTCAGGCATCCTCGGAGAGCTGCACAACAATGTCTTCTGTGGGGTGGCCTGTGGCCGGGGCCCAATGGCCGGCAATACCTTCTGTGTGTCCTACTCGGGCCTCCTCTGCCAGTTCAACGAGAAGAGGGTACTGGAGAAGTGGATCAACCTGAAGGTACCCCACTTGCCCTCTGTGCCATCAGGAGGGGGTCTCTCCAGGTCTTCTGGGATGCTCAGCAACACCCCTTTCTGCTTGTGTGACTCCAAGTGAGTCAGTCTCCCTCTCTCAGCCGCCATGAAATGATCAGGTAGTCACATGAGAATAACATGTGAAGGCACTTAGGACAGTGCTCAGAACCTTATCATGGGATCAAGGTTACAATTATTTCCCTGACATGGTTTGATCCAGTTCACATCTCTCTACACGGGCACTCTTGGCTGCTCAGAAGACTGATTATTATTTTTTTAACTTGAGTTACCATTGTGGTGTGGCACTGTGGGATAAAGCACTGGACTGCAAGGTCACTTTGAACCACAAGGTTGGCAGTTCAAACTCACCAGCCATTCCTCGGAAACCCTATACTGGGTCGCTATGAGTTGGAACCGACTCGATGGCACTTAATAACAGCAAAAGTAACTATTGACTTAATAATGTTTCAATCAAAAAAGACTACACAAAATTCCTCACTTTTTAAACTAAAGAATGACTCGTCAGTAAATTATGGAACTGCTTTTCTTCTATCTGAGGGCTTGAGTCCAAGCTGTCTTTCCATCCCAGGATGGGGTGCTCATTTGCTTGTCCTGGTGTCTGCTGCTTTTCCTAGCATACTCTGTGACCCCCCCGCCCCCCAAGAGATCACCTTGAGGGTCGATGGCATGGTATTGGGGCGTGGGGACGAAGTCTGACGTTTATGTCTTTTTCAATTGATTTAAGCTGTTCTTTCAATTCTTTCCTTGTTTTCTTCCTTCGCTCCTTTTGCTAGAACTTAAGCAGTTTAAGCAAGTCAGACGCTTTCGACAGATATGTGTAGTGCCCGAGCAATTGTCTGCAATGATGCATGGAAAAATTAAATCCCACTCAATTTGGAAAACCTCCCCTAATCTGTATGAAAGCCCGACAGTCCCTGCCCCTCCTGTCTCCATGCCCAGGTAGGATAGGAAGTCCTTTTTGGGTTTTTTTGCTTCTTTTCTGCTTATTTTATCCCAAAGATTGCAAGACAACAGTTATCCCGCTTCCTCCCTGGGATTCCCGTTTGCAGTCCGCTCACCTTTCCATCCCTGCTCAACTTTGTCTTTAGATAGAGAAATGGTGTCCTTTTGATCTTGAAGGATTGAACATTTCATAGTGAGCACACCTTACTAGTGGTGTTGTCCCCGCTATAGATCAATCTACTGCTTGACTGAAAATTGGGCCACAAGGATGAGTTCCTTTGTAGACCTGAAGGGTGGTCGAGGGCCACAGTCTCAGGTTCCTCCAGTCTCTTTCTGACCAGTAAACCCATTTATCTTTTTTTTTTAATTATTTTCTCCCACTCTATCCGGGACCCTCTAATATGAGTCCTTTGAGAACAGTCAGTAGTGGTAGCCGGGCACCGTCTAATTCTTCTGGTCTCAGAGCCGTGGAGACTGTTGTTCACATGTCCC